AGAGAGAAAGAGAGGGAGAGTTTTGTTCCATTTATTATTAGGAGTGTGAGAGAGGGACAAAGAGTGCAAGAGAGAGAGAGAGAGAGAGAGAGAGAGAGAGAGAGAGAGAGAGAGAGAGAGAGAGAGAGAGAGATTTGTTCCATTTATTATTAGGAGTGCAAGAGAGAGAGTGCGAGAGAGAGAGAGAGAGAGAGAGAGAGAGAGAGAGAGAGAGAAACACTTGCAAATACAGACAAAACGTGCGAGGTTTTACTATCGCAGCAAACACGTAATGTCCATGGCGTGCGACCAAGTCGCGATTACCCTTCTACCTCACTGCTCAGGTAATCCGTTCAGCCACTATCCAAAATATATATACCTTTCGTAACCCAATCTTCACCCCCACTTTCCCTATCCTCACAGTGTACCCATCATCACTCCACAGGATCTCTCCTTGTCGTACTCTTTGTCGTCTTTGTTGCCGTCGATCTCCCGCATGCTTCAATCTGGCGATACTTCCACCTGATTATCGTGCGTGCTTCCCCGTATTATTTTATCGCCTCAGTCCCGTCTCACCCTAGTCAAATGCTATAACTCCACTGTCCGTCATACTGACTCGTACCTGGCCTTTGTTTGTTGTTGTGTTCACTTCTATTTTTCACGTCCGTGGATTTATTCTTCTTTTTCAGGTGAGATTGTTTGTTTCATCTTCCTGGTTAATCCGTTCGTGTCCATGCTCTTTGGTTTTCTATCTGCTTTGCATGTCGAGAAATGTAGGCGACATTTTTACGTCATTATATCTGTAGAATTTCAATTTYACTCCCGAGTACTTTATCGTGTACGCTTGTTTTATTTTTGAGAATATTTTTGTTTCTTTTTTGGACTTATATGTATGTTTAGGGTTTAGCTCTTTATATATCCTTATTTCACTTTTCGCTTTTGCTCGAGCATTTCTTCACCGATTTTTTATTTCAGACTTTCGGTGTTATATACTTCTCCTGGTGTCTCCTTCCTTTCCAGGTACTGTCGAAATTTAATACGGACGTCCGCATCCCCGCAGTTTCTGATAAACGCAAGTATTGCGGCCCGGGTTATCCTCCATGGGTACTCCATGAGTCGGAGTTCCCGTCCGTACATGTCAATTACGGGTGGCAGATCAGCCGTCTCGTACGTATTTGCTACCATTCGATGAAATGTACCGATAATCGTCAACACTTTGGTCCTCTCGGAACCCGAACTCCTGAAGTGACGCAGCATTGAGAGAGAGAGAGAGAGAGAGAGAGAGAGAGAGAGAGAGAGAGAGAGAGAGAGAGAGATGCTGAATGGCAAAATTGAAATATGGGTCAAATTGCGGCCGCGATCTATTTCAGAGTTGGAATGATTTTTTTTAATTTATTGAGCGTTTTTCCTGGAAAGATCACAAGTTCACAACAAAATCTACGAGTACTCCAATTTTCGGGTTTTTTCACGCATTCTTTTGAGCGCGAACACTCACTGAATTTGGAGTACTTTTTTAGCTGGCCCACACATGGCTGAGTGGCAAAAATGGAACATGTGCCGAATCGGCGTGACGATTATTTCGCAGTCTAAATGATTTTTTGAAAATGTTCTAATATTATTCCTGGAAAGAACACGACCTCGTCTATGGATTCTCAAAATTTCATATTTTTCTGCAGGTTCGTCCGAGCACAGAAAATCGCCAAAGTTGCCTCTTGCAAAACGCCTGTTTCGTTGTGCCTGACCTCCCTCTTTTGAGAAGACGGGCCTCAACGCCTGGGCCTGAGGGCGCTTTTGCAGTTCACATGCCCTCACTTCTTTTTGGGGTCCGCTTCTACCCGAAGACCGGTTCAACGCCCCCCACTTCTTTTTCGGGTCCACTTCCACCCAAGGACTGGTCCTTCCTTTGTCCAAAAGTCTCGGTTCTACCAGAGCTAGCTGTAGGTAGTCCGCAATTTTGGCAAGGAC